GCCGAGCAGGGAGCCCGATGCGGGACTCGATCCAGGGACTCCAGGATCATGACCTGAGCCGAAGGCAGTCGCTTAACCAGCTTAGCCACCCAGGCGCCCTCTACCAAACATTTAAAGAATAGTTAATACCTAATCTTATCAAACTATTCCAAAAAAAACAGAAGCAGGAAAACTTCCAAATTCATTCTATGAGGCCAGCATGACTTGGATATCAAAACCAGACAGAGACACTACTAAAAAAGAAAACTGCAGGTCAATATCTCTGATGATCACAGATGCAAAAATCCTCAACAAAATATTAGCAAACCATATTCAATAACACATTAAAAGGATCATTCACCATGATCAAGTGAGATTTATTCCAGGGACGCCAAGGTGGTTCAATATTCACAAATCAATCAATGGGATACATCATATCAACAAGAGGAAGGATAAAAACCATGTGATCATCTCAATAGATGCAGAAAAGCATTTGACAAAGTACAATATTCATTCATGATAAAAACCCTCAACAAAGTAGATTTAGAGAGAATATATCTCAACATAATAAAGGACATATCTAAAAATCTCACAGGTAACATCATGCTTAATGGTAAAAAAAAATAAAGTTTTTCCTCAAGATCAGTATCAAGATAAGGATTGCCATTTTCACTACTTTTATTCGACATAGTAGTGGAAGTCCTCACTGCAACAAGAGGACAAGAAAGGAAATAAAAGGCACCCAAAGTGGTAAGGAAGAAGTTAAACTGTTACTATTTGCAGATGACATGCTACTATATATAGAAAACACTAATGACTCCACCAAAAAACTATCAGAACTAATAAATGAATTCAGTAAAATTGCAGGATACAAAAATAATACACAGAAATCTGTTGTGTTTCTATACTAATAATGGAGTAGCAGGAACAGGTATTAAGAAAACAATGCCACTTGCAACCACACCAAAATAAAATGCCTAGGAATAAATTTAACCAAGGAAGTGAAAGACCTATACTCTGAAATCTTTAAGAAATTTGATGAAAGAAATTGAAGATGAAACAAATAGAAAGATATACCACACTCACAGACTGAAAGAATTAATACTGTTAAAATGTCCATAATACCCAAAGTCATCTACAGATTCATTGCAATCCCTATCAAAATACCAATAGCATTTTTCACAGAAGTAGAACAAATAATCCTAAAACTCTATGGAACCAAAAGAAACCCTGAATATCCAAAGCAATCCGGAGAAAGAACAAGGCTGGAGGTATCAGAACCCCAGATTTCAAGATATAATACAATGATGTAGTAATCAAAATAGTCTGGTACTGGCTTAACAACAGACACATAGATCAATGCAACAGGATATAGAGCCTAGAAATAAACCCACACCTGCATGGTCAATTAATCTGTGACAGAGGAGGCAAGAACATACAATGGAGTAAAGACAGTTTCTTCAATAAATGGTGCTGAGAAAACTGGACAGCTACATGCAAAACAATGAAACTGGACCCCTTTCTTACACCATACACAAAAATAAACTCAAAATGGACTAAAGACCTAAAGGTGAGACCTAAAACCATAAAATTCCTAACAGAAAACATAGGCAGTAATCTCTTGGACATCAGCCTTAGCAACATATTTATGGATACGTCTCCTCAGCCAAGGGAAACATAAGCAAAAATAAACTACTGGGACTATACAGAAATAAAAAGCATTTGCATAGCAAAGGAAACCATCAACAAAACAAAAGGCAACCTATTAAACAAGAGAAGATATTTGCAAGTGATATATCCAATAAGGGGTTAATATACAAAATATATAAAGAACTACTATGCCTCAACACCAAAAGTACAAACAATCTCACTAAAGAATAAGCAGAGGGCCTGAACATTTTTCCAGAAAATAAATACAAATGGCCATCAGATACATGAAAAGGTGAACAACCCTAGTCATCATGGAAATGTCAATCAAAACCACAATGAGATACCACCTCACACCAGTCAGAATGGCTAAAATAAAAAACACAAGAAACAACAAGTGTTGGCGAGGATGTGGAGAAAAAGGAACGCTCGTGTGCTGTTGATAGGAATATAAATTGGTGCAGCCACTGTAGAAGACAGTATGGAGGTTTCTCAAAAACATAGAGAAATACCATATGATCCGGTAATTCCACTACTGGGTATTTACCCAAAGAAAACCAAAACACTAAATCAAAAAGATATATGCACCCCTATGTTAGTGCAGCATTATTTATAATAGCCAAGATATGAAAGCAACCCAAATGTCTGTCAATAGATGAATGGAGAAGATGTAGTGTATGTGTGTATATACATACACATATATATACAATGGAATATTACTCAGGCATAAAAAAGAATGAGATCTGCCATTTTCAACACACGAAGGGACCTAAAAGGTATAATGATAAGTGAGATAAGTCAGATAAAGACAAATACCATATGATTTCACTTAACATGTGAAATCTAAAACAAAATAAAACAGAACAAAACAAACAAATGGACTCTTAAATACAGAGAACAAGCTGGTGGTTGTCAGAGAAGGGGTGAGTGGGAGGATGAGTTAAACAGATAAAAGGGATTAAGAGGTACAAACTCCCACTCATAAAATAAATGAGTCACAGTGACGAAAAGTACAGCATAGGGAATACAGTAAATAATATTGCAATAACATTGTATGGTGATAGATGGTAACGAAACTTATCTTGGTGAGCTTTGAGTAATGTACAGAATTGTCAAATCAATTTGTTGTATGCCTGAAACTAATGAATGTCAATTATACTTCAATAAAAATAAAAAATAATTATAAATAACCAGTAACTGAAATAGAAACGAAGCATTAATCGAATAAAAAATAAGAAGGATAACAACAGAAAAATTCTAGATTTATAAATTAGTTGCTATTTGTCAATTTGTAATTAAACATTTATGGAAGTTTTCCATAAGCAAATTCTCCTTATTTTGTGAAAAAAACCCAATATATAGATCTTTGACATTTTCTCTAAGTGAGAAATAAAAGTCTATGGAGAAACACTCACTTGCCCTAGAAAAAAAATAGCTAGTTGATGATAGAGATGGACTAATACCAAAGTTTTCTGATACCCAATCCTTGTTCTTTTTTATTAATAAGCAATTAATTTCATATATTTTATTTTTCTCCTTCCTAAATTTGTTCTTATTGAATTTAACCTGTTTCATATTTTTACTTCATTAGATAGATAAGACTGAATTTATCTTCTAAGATCCTGGTTTAAAGTACTATACAAACTTAAGTACCCAACATATTCTTATAAAGGTGATGTACTAAGACCAAGTTTGGATGAATCATACAAAAAACATCAGCATCAAAAATCTCACTACCCAGACTGATGCAAGCCCTGAGGGAAATAAATCTTGGTCTGTTCAGTTCATCATTTCATTCACTACATGCATCCAAAAATGATCTTTTGTACTCATTAGGATATGGATCACAGTGTTTGTATATACCAATATAATATACCAATTCCATTTAGGTCATCAGACTGCTTAACTGGAGGATACACTAGACAGGCATTCTTCTGAAAAGAGCAGAATATCACTTCAAGAGGCTTGGATTATAATTTAGTATCTGCATATTTATAAAAATCTTAATCTAAACTTCTATCTTACGTATGAAACAGAAAATGTATCAGATGAATAAGTACAATTTTTACTGAATATCCACTAAGTCCTAAGCACTGAATATACAAATTAAATTAATTAAACTAAAATACATTTAATTTAGTCACTGACTATAAATCTCAGAATCCAGGTACAAATAGGATACTTAAGATTTGTAGCTTTTTAATGGCAGAACTGGGCTAGACTTAAGACCTCCTGGGTTACATTTCCAGGTGCTCTGTGACAAGATGTAGTAGTACATTTTTATGCTACTTTCTATAACAATGTAGGTTGTTTCTAGAAAGTAAACTTCCCCAAATTAACTTTGAACTGATTGAAATTCACTTACCTTGCTTCTTTTCACAGTTGACTGCACAGCCTAAAATAAGCTGGAGCAATCTCCCAAGCTCCACAGAATCTGAACATTCAATTATTTGGTTTAAATCAGGGATAAGTTCTTCAGAAATCTGCTGCCCCAAAAACTGCAGTATTAAGACAATAAATTAGATCACTCATTTCTGTAGACTACAAAGAATTTATTACATTACATTACAAGGAAAACAAACTATAAATAGGATTGTGAAATGACTCAGATAAATTAACAAAATGATAAATCCGTAATTATTGACTGAAACCAGTTAGCAAAGTTGAAGCAACATCCCAAAATTTTGAGTAACCAACCAATAGCAACTAAAATGGTTTTACATCAAATAACTTTGATCCCACTGTCTGAGGGATTAAGAAACCCCTAGACTGATCTTTTATGACAAAAACTTATGCCTTTCCAAAAATAAACAGATTTATGTTAAGCTGAAAGATAAGCATATTTTGATGCATGACTGATTAATAGTAAACCACAGTATAAACCATGACACTTGCAAATGAACAGCAAATCTAACAAATCTAATGGATTAATCTTTCCTGGCCTTATCTTTATTTTTTTTGGCTCATTAAAAAGTTTTCTTGGCATTAAAAAGCTTTAAAAATGAGTTTGAGGCATTAACAGGTTGAAAAATTTCAATCTTAAAATTACTGGAAAAAATTACAAGTATAAATATGTGACAACTTTAAAAAATAGAAACCAAGTCTTTTAATGGCAAAACCAAACCAAAAGTTTTTTAAACATAAGCAATAAGCTTTCTTATATCAAATAATCCCACTAGAGAACTTGTTATGATACTAAGAAAAAAAAAAACCTACTTGAATAATGTACTACCTAAAGTGACTTTAATACTACTTTCACTTTGCTTTTTTCCCCAATTTACTTGCACAAAAGCATAATTTCACAGTATACCTTTGTTGCTGTTTGCACTGAGAAGGTCAAAATAATACTTTACATAGGAAATACTTCAATTTAATTATAAAGTCTACTTTACAGCATTGCATAAAATCAAATCATTTAGAGATGACAGTAATTCTCTTGGAGAAAATAACAAATTTCAAGAGTATCAATATAGAAGCAACATTATTTTACAAATCAATATATTACATTTAAGCCTGTTCATGTTCACAAAATTTGAGTGTTCTGAAAATGGCAAAAAAAAAAATACATTCTAATTATGAATTACATTTTAGTAAGATGTTATAAACAAAAATCCAGGTTATTTTTTGGTGTCAATATAAATATCATATAGGATTTTGTATTTAAACAATGTCAGATGTTTTTCATACCTCACTGTAATAACTCATAATTCCTTGAAGTACCTTCTTTAAATTACTAGCCTAATGGGGAAAAAAAGAATAAGAGTTCAATAAATTATTTCAAATTAGCAATGAAAGAAAATTTATGCCAAGGTGAAAGACAATAAAAACTCTGGCCTCATAAAAATGACAACAAAAAAACATACATTAGAGTTTTATAAATACAGGTATATGATATTTTTTAAACATGAAAGCTTTAATCAGAATTTGATTAAAAGTATCTTTATGCTTTCATAGATTAACCAGAGTGGTTCTATCTATCTATCTATTTATTTATTTATTTTTAAAAGATTTTATTTATTTGACAGCAAGAGAGGGAACACAAGCAGGGAGAGTAGGAGAGGGAGAAGCAGGCTTCCTGCAGAGCAGGAAGCCCGATGCAGGGCTCGATCCCAGGACTCTGGGATCATGACCTGAGCCAAAGCAGACGCTTAACAACTGAGCCACCTAGGTGCCCTGAGTGGTTCTATTTAAAGTGAGCTGCAATGAAGTACCAACTTTAAAGATTTAACTATGAGCATGTCAACCTCCAGTCACAAGTGAGTATTAGGGTTTCTATTTATTCTCTTGCCACAAACAATAGACAACAGGACAAAATACAAGGAACGATGTTTTCCAAGCTTTAGCCACTGGACAATATGGAGGAGGAAAACAAAACAAGATGAGCCCAACTCTAGTCCAAGATTTCTCTCTGGAGGCAATTTTCATTCCATGAAATAAAGTGGTAGAAACTAAACAAAGCCTGATGTTCTCACTGAGTTGAGGAGATAAGACATCAGAAGTTCAGGAAGGTCAAGGGAGTTAGAATTTGGAGGGCAGACAAAGAGGTGAGCCCTACAGCGAGAAGATGTTTCACAAATTTGCACAGTGGTTTGTCACTTTCAGCTGAATAGCAATTTGCATGTGCATGGGTGAAACTGAGATTAAACAAAAATAATTTCACTTTTTTTTTTTTATTTTTTTCCCCAGTCAAGAATAACTTCTGGGGCGCCTGGGTGGCTCAGTCGTTAAGCGCCTGCCTTCGGTTCAGGTCATGATCCCAGCGTCCCAGGATCAAGCCCTGCATCGGGCTCCCTGCTCCGCGGGAAGCCTGCTTCTCCCTCTCCCACTCCCCCTGCTTCTGTTCCCTCTCTAGCTGGATCTCTCTCTCTCTGTCAAATAAATAAATAAATAAATAAAATCTTTAAAAAAAAAAAAAAAAGAATAACTTCCAAGGAAAAAACAATCCAAGGAACTTTAAGCTGAACAATTCCCAGAGCTTACACAGGGCCAGAAATTGTTCAAATTCCCACCAGTCACAGTGAAGAGACTATCTGCATCGACAAGCACTCACTAAAGACCCTGGTCACACCTTAGTAAAGGGTCTAACCTAGCCCTAGAGGAAAAATAATTCTAGATCTATCTCCTAACCTCCAAAGCTTCGAAACGATCAAACCGATTCACAAGTATCTTAACTGCCTGCAAGAACAAAGTCCGACACTCTTTAAAGGAAAACAAAAAATCCATCACTCAACAATGAAATTCATACTGTCTAGCATCCAATAAAAAACTACTACATATGTGAAGAAGCGGGAAAATGTGGATCATAATAAGGAGAAAATTCAGTCAATAGAAATGGGCCAAGAAATGAGAGATGAAAGAATAAGAAGACAATAATGTTAAAACTGCTAGCTTCAATTTGTTCACAGATTTAACTGAAAACAGGAATATAAGAATAGAAGTGTTTTCTTAAAGCACAAAATAAAGAAATGGTCTCTAGATTAAAAAAAGGAAGACTCAACTGTTAGGTGTCTACATGAAAGACCTAATATAAAGACAGATTAAAAGAATAAAAAAAAAGATACACTAAAGCAAAAAATAATCATAAAACTGGAGTGGTTACTTTAATATCAGACAAATTAGACTGCAGAACAAAGATTTCCGGGGATAACAAAAGGCCTTTCATAATAATAAACAGATTCATTCATCAAGAAGACATTTAAAAATTGATGTATATAAACTTAGTAACAGAATTCAAATTACATGATTTAAAAGTTAACTAGAACTGAGAGAAATCAACAAATCCACAATCACTGTTAGAGATTTAAGGACTCCTCTTCCATAACTGATAGAATAATCAGACAGAAAATCAATAAAGATATAAAAGATGCAATAGTACTATCAATACATTTGACATAATCCATCTGCAGAATACATGTTGTTTTCAGGTGCACACAGAACATTCACCAAGACAAACCATATGTTAGGTTGTAAAATAAGTCTCAATAAATGTAAAAGAATTTCTCAATACAGAGTTATGTTCTCAAACAAAAATGGAATTAAATTAGAAATCAATAAATACAGGAAAAGTACCTTAAAAATCCTCAAATATTTACAATTTGAAATAACTATTTCTAATCTACCTGTGGGTCAAAAGAAACCACATGGGAAATGAATGAATATTTTGAACTGAATGAAAATAGGAACACAGCATGTCAAAATGTGTGGGATGTGTAAGGCAATGTTTAATATTAGGAAAATAAAAGACCTAAAACTTATGATTTAATTTTCCACTTTAAGACACAAGAAAAAGAAGAGAATATGTAAGTAGAGAAAAGGAAATAATAGGGAAGAAATCTATAAAATAGAAAACAAAAGCTAGTTCTTAAAAAGAAACCAATAAACTTGAAAACTGTCAAGCCAAACCTATCAAGAAAAAAAGAAAAGACACAAATTGCCTACATCAGTAGAGAAAGAGGATACATCACTAAAGATCAGAGTCATCAACATATTTTTAGCAAAACAATTAAGAACAACTATATGTCAACAAATTGGATAACCTAAATGAAACCCAGTTAAGAACAGTTAAGAACAACTGTATGCCAACAAATTGGATAACCTAAATGAAACACACAAATGCCCTACAAGACACAACAAAACTGACCTAAGAAGAAATGGAAAATCAGTCTGGTAGTTTCTTAGAAGGTTAAATATATACCTACACAATGGGATACAATTACATTCAGGAATTTACCCAAGAAAAATTAGATATATGTCATTGCAATTTTGTACCCAAAGTAGGTAAACACAGAAACAATTCCAATAGCCATTAACAAGTGAATGGTAAGCAAATTGTGGTGTATCAATGTAATGAAATACTACTCAGGGAAAAGAAAGAAAGAAAGAACTAATACAGGCAACATGGATGAGTCTCAAAAACATCACAGCGAGTGAAAAATGCCAGACACAAAGAGTAACAGAGTATATAATGTCTGATTCCATTTATATGGAACTCTAAAAATCTACAGTGACAGAAAGCAGATCCATGGGGCCAAGCGAGGAGTGGGGATTAACTGGGAAGAGGCATGTAAGTGCATGTTTTGGGTTAATGGAAATGTTCCACATCTAATTATGACAGTAGTTACATAAGAACATACATAACTCAAACTGTACACAATAAAATGCACCCTTAAATTAATTTTAAAAAATGATTTAATTGAGTTTAGTGTTAATTTTAAAATCACTGTTTGGATTAAGTGCTTCTACTACTTATTTTGTATACCTTTATTCTCCAGTTGTCACCAATATCCTCTTTAATTCGGCTTAACCAAGATTCATTGAACCAAGCTACATCACTGAAACAAAAATACAAGTGCAAAACATTAAGATGTTTTTGTTACATAGAAAGCATCAAATTAAATCAATATATCAGTATTTATATCTTAAAGCCTGCCCTTAATAAGAGTAGTAAATATTATTTAAATGAACCCACTGAATTTTTAGTAATTCCTAAGGATTTCTTTTGTAATTTCTCATAATAAATTACTTAATTCATTAACATCTTCAATTTAATAAACATTTACTAAGTATCTCATACTAGATACTCTGGTAGCAGGAAGATGTAAAACTCCCAATCCTAAAGGGGGGGGAAAAAAGAAGAAAACTAACATTTTAATGTGTCTACTCTGTATCAAGCACTGTGCTTACTGTTTTTCCATAGTGCAACATTTCAATATCATAGTAATTGGCAAAGGATTGGTTATGATTATCCTCAATCTTACTCTTCAGGGAACTGAGGATGAGAGAAGATAAGTGATTTTCCCAAAGTGACACTAGTACATGGCAAAGCCCAAAATAAATCTATTTGATTGTAATTGAGTAGAATGAGTGTAATGAGAAGTCTACAAGGACAAATTTAGTTTTAAACTTGTAAAGTTAAGTCATATTAATATGGAAGGCCAAGACAAAGAATTGCTATATCAATTTTTTAGGTTTCAAAGAATAACAAATATTTGACTATAGTGAACTGTGTTAATAGATCATACATATTCTAAACAAATATTTGGATGCTTGCTCTGAGTAAGGAATTGAGCAAGATTAATATGAAGATGAATAATTTACTACATGACTCTTAGGGAAATAACTATTAAAGTGGGAAAGAAAAGAGCACAAAAACTATACTCAAAGGAGAATGAGAGAAATGCTGTAATCGTTAAACAAACACTACAAACTAACAGAATAATAGTACTAGCGGAGGTCTTCGAAGTCTCATCTAAATTTTTACTTCACACATAAGCCAACAAAAGTGAGGGAAGAGGGGCGCCTGGGTGGCTCAGTCGGTTAAGCGTCTGCCTTAGGCTCAGGTCAGGATCCCAGGGTCCTGGGATCGAGTCCCACTTTGGGCTCCTTGCTCAGTGAAGAGTCTCCTTCTCCCTCTTGCTCTGCCTACTTGTGCTCTCTCCTCCTCTCTCTCTGCCAAATAAATAAAATCTTTAAAAAAAAAAAAGTGAGGGAAGAAATCAAAGGGATTCTTTTCCAAGGCCTGAAGTTAAAAATGTAAAGCTGAAACTAGAACACAGTGCTTAGCTTTTCAGAAATCATTCTGCCTCAGATGCTCTAATATAGAAGATACCACTTCTGACTGGGGTAACCAAAAATGACTTAGCCGTTTCTTTTCTTTTCTTTCTTTTTTTTTTAATTATAATGCAAGCCCTTGCATGGCAATCCAAATTTATTGAACTACTGATGCTAAGTTATACAAAATTGCACCACTTTAATTAAGGCTTTTAGTTTACATTTGGCCACCTCAAAGCAGTTGTAACATTAGGTTGGTCAATTTAAATACTGTGGCTCCCTGTTGGATAGACACACAATCTTTACACCCAAACGGTTAATGCATACAAAGCAACAAGGCATTGTTAAATAAAACAGCAATAGTTACTGCAACTTAGGCCTTGTGACCAATTACACATGATTAAAATTACTTCCCACATTCACATCCACAGTACTCGCCCACCATTTAACATCTCAAACAAAACGTTACACATGTGAAACAATCACTAACAGGCAAAAATACTAAACCTGTATATTTGGTATTGCAAATACACTTATGCATGAGCAAGCAAGGGATTCACAGTGAGAATCTACAGCTGCAGAAGCCTGAAAATGATTTACAAAAATTGTTAAATCATTAAAAAATTGTTTGAAAATATACACTTCTTGTTGTAGGCCCCCACTGTACACACAACTATAAACATCGTTCCCTATGTAAACAAAAAAAGGAAACATATAATAAAAGATTTGAAAAGTCTGGACATTTCCTTCCCAACAGATATTAAAGGCAATGTCTTTAATCTAAGACATTATACTGAAAGGACTATCGTATTTTAAAGACAAGATCACTGTCTCCACAGGTTTTTTTAAAAATTAAAAAAACTATATAGCTGTGTTAATCAAAGTGCTTATTTGTACAATACAATGATAATGACCTTGAATTTCTTAAAAAAAATTACAATAAGACTTAGCCATTTCTAATTCATCTATGTGGAATCTGTAGCCATTTTCTTCTGAGCAAATTAACATTAATTTTATTCAACCTTTCCCAGATGCTAAGGCTACAATTACCAAAATAATTTGGCTAGATGTATAAATGGTATATTTCTAACCAAGTATTTACCTAAAAAGTCTGATCCATAAATGAGTCAAACTGTATCAAAGCAAATTCACTTTCTTTTGACATCAGATTAAGTGAAATAGGTAAACCAGTTGTGATGGTTACTTTTATGTATCACCTTGGCTAGGTCATTTTTTGCTCAAACATGCTTGGATGTGGCTATGGAAGTATTTTTTAGATAATATTATCATTCAAATCAGTGGACTTTAAGTAAAACACATTACCCTCCATAATATGGGTGGACTTCATCCAATCAGCTGAAGAAAAAGAATAACCTCCCTCAAGAAAGAGTGAACTCTGCCAACAGATCGTCTATGGACTCTAGTTACAACATCAGCTCTTCTCTAAATCTCTGGCCCGCAGGCCTGACCTGTGAATTCTGAACTTGCCAGCCTCCACAATCACGTGAGCCAATTCCTAAAAACAAACCTCTCTCCCCACCGTGTATGTGTACACATATACAATAGTATATGCCCACGTCTTATTGATTCTATTCCTCTGGAGAACACTGACTACTAAACCAGTCTTCTAACTGACCCTAAAGATATCTTGATATAGGATTCTTTAATTACCTCTAGAAAATGGATCTCAACATAACCTCTTCTAGCTTTCCTCCTTTTATCTTGTGTTCCTCCTTGTCTTTCTTTCTACTCCAAATCAACTCCAGCCCTGTGTCTCAGTCTGCTCAAACTTCCATAACAAAAGACCACAAACTGGGTGGCTTACACAACCGTAATTTATATCCCACAGTTCTGGAAGCTGGAAGTTCAAGATCAAGATGCTGGCAAAATAGGTTTCACTCTCAGGTCTCTTCTCTAAGCTTGTAGGTGGCTGCCATCTCGCTGTGTGATCACATGACCTCTTCTTGGTACGCTCGAGTGAACTCTCTAATGTCTCTAAGGATCATAATCCTATCAGATCAGGGCCCCACTCTTATGACCTTATTTAACCTTAATTATTTTTCAGAGGCCCCATCTCCAATATAGCTACACGGGGGTTAGGGCTTCAACATATACATTTGGAATGGATACAAACATTCAGTCTATAATATCCTGAGAAATACTTTCTAACTTGATTTAGGATTTCTAGCCTCCAGAATTATGAGAACAAATTTTTGTTGTTTTAAGCCATCCACTCTGTGGTACTTTGTTATGGAAACCCTAGGAAACCAATGCAGTTAGTTATAATTTTTCCCCATGTGTTTTTTAAATATCTACATATATTTTAAAAATACATATATACATTACGTATTCAGACCAGAGATAATAATTAGGAACTTGTAGAACCCTAACAGTAAGTCTGTGACTCCCCATGTCTAACTTATATGGTTTGGGCATTGATTTTCATTTTTTAAAGATTTATTTTTTTTTTTTTTAGAGAGAGTAAGTAAGCACAGGGCAGTGAGGGGGGGAGTAGGGGCAGAAAGAGAGGGAGAGAGAATCTTAAACAGATTCCATGCTGAGTGCAGAGCCTAATGTGGAGCTGGATCTCACAACCCTGAGATCAGGACCTGAGCTGAAACCAAGAGTCAGACACTTAACCAACTGCACCACCCAGGTGCCCCGGGCATTGATTTTTATGATCTTATTCTTCAGCATACTTGCCTCAGGTAAATAATAAAAGAATTATTCATTTAATGTTACTACTTCCTTAGAAAGCAAAATTTCCCTTTTCATCTTCAGTAACAACTTTGATGTGATTTGATATGAGTCACAATTGCAATCAATGCAGTACATAATAGACTGTAACATATACAAAGTGCTTTGAAGTGTTCAAAGAAATATGGTAAAATGTGCTCTTTTAGCAGGAATATGATATACTGATCCAACTAGGAAAAAATGTATGCTTCTAAGTTTCACTAACAAATCCAGACCTCTGGAAAGCTACCAAACAAGAAAGGGATTCAAAAAGAAAAATAAATTTTAAATAATCCTTAGATGATAAGGAGGCTTAGATAGCTAAGTACATGCAAAAACAGGCAAAGCAAAAAAGAGGTTTCGATCCAATTTTAGGTCAGTCTTATGTTTTATGAAGAAAGAGAGCTTTCTGATCGGTGGGCTATTATATTATTCTTGCAGAAAAGTATTAGAAGACAGTAAGAGACAAAAAAGAAAACAAAAAAGAAGAGGAAAATCAGAGAGACAGAGGATCAGCAGTGACAGCAGAATCCAACAGATTATGGAAAATGAGTTGGTGATAAAGGGTAGAGTTGAGCTAAATTTGAATTGGCCCTACTCTAAACATCAGGTACAGTGTTAAAGTATAGGGAGTCAAAGAGCCATTGTATCACATCACGGTAAAAACAGGTCTCATCCATTGTATTATAGCATAAAAGCTACCAGAATCACCACAACACATATAAATAAGAGCTCTGGATGGCACTGTTGAAGTTAATGAACGCATAGCAGCCTTACAATCCACACCAACCACAATGTAGCTGCATCTACACCAATACCCACAACATATGGCAATAAGCAAAGGCAAGGCATACATTCTAACGACAAAAAACAATGAGGACTTTTCCCAAATCAATATCAAGAATGCTTGCTTCTGACCAATGAAATCACTTTGAAACTATACAGGGTATAAATGAAAAAACGTTTAAGAACCATTTTTAAGAAAACAGGGGAGGGAAGGCATATTTTAGAAGACTACCAAAAAAAATGTTAACATGTTAAGTTTGTCTCTTAACATGTTAATCTTGAGTTAACCATAAAATCTATCTATTCAAATTACATCATGTCGAAGATGCCAAGTAACTAGAATTTTGACATTTTAAGTTGTCTTTCTGAGGGTGAGAAGGAATTTTGGCAAATCCATCTACGGGGTTTTCAATGTCAATCACAACAAACCTTGACAAAATGATGGCAATAATTAAATAAACAATTTCTGGCTATAAAACAAGTGGTAGAGGTAGGATTCTGGTCTCATTGAAGAATTATCATAAAAGTAAGCAAATACAAAATCAATATGACTATCAATTAATAAATTGGCTCCATTTGTTCCTACTAAGGGTAGAGCTCATATTGTAGATGTTATAATCATAATCCTTGCACAATGTTTGGCAAAAATTGGGAAATAATGGATTTAGGAGCTTCTGCTACTCTATAATTATACCTAATGGGTCTAACCCAAACAGAATTATTAGTTAAGATTCCCCAGTATTTGTGACTTCAAATTTGTTTTATACCTCATTTCATTATTAGTGGAGTTATAGAAGTTCTACTTATAATTCAAATATAGATTTTAAAATTTATTATTTTTCCAAATCTGGTATTTATATTTCAGTTATCTCTAAAGTAATAATCTTCATGCATTGATACCTTCCAATGACAGTAATATAACTGGGGGGAAAAAACATTATAAACAATTATACCAGTCATTTAAACTGTTTCTTTTCCAGTTACTCTAACTTGTGAATGTGACCAGAACAAGCTTAAAATTAAAATCTCTTAAATAGATAAGAATCCTGTTTGCTCATTTAGTTAAGATCTATCTCTGTGAATAAGCAAGGAATAATCAAGTGGTAAACTTTTTTGTTCCCCAGATGCAATAGTGCCTTGGTACCATATGGCTGTCAGGACTTCATAGGATACAGTTTCAGTGACTTTTAGAATATGAGTCTAAGCTTTCTTCCTTGGTACTGGGTTTACAATTCTTTCAAAATCAGTCTAGACCACTACTTACATTTGATGAAGAACTTGTGCCATGGCAACTCCATTAGTCAGCTGTGTGACATCCTGACAAGGTGCATCAGTATTGAATGTCTGCAGCTAAAATGACATAGAGCAGATGACTTTGCTGCCTCTTTATACTTACAGGGTAGTGTTACCAACCCTCCCAAACATACATACATATATACATACACACACACACACACACACACACACATATATATATGAATGAACATCATCAAGCTAAAAATTGTCCTGTTTTGTTTAAATTCAGACTGTGCCAAACCAATGAAACTATATTAATAAGTTTCTACGGCTATGTAATATTTTTATAAAAGTAAACACTTAACAATTCATAAAATCATGAATAATCATACCTAAAATAGTTAAATACACTGATGTAATGTATGAAGTACTTCAGAATTTCTGAAAGCCGCATATAATGCTCTTAAGATAGACAGCATTGTGTTCATTTTTAGAATAACATCAGAAAAAGCTTTAGGAAAACCTATTATTTCAAATTAAAACTTCATTCATATCATGTGGTAGGACAACAAAGGCTAGAAATGTCAAGTCTAAAACTACTTAATTGGGGCGCCTGGGTGGCTCAGTCGCTAAGTGTCTGCCTTTGGCTCAGGTTGTGATCCCAGGATCCTGGGATCCAGCCCTGCATCAGGCTCCCTGCTTCACGGGAAGCCTGCTTCTCCCTCTCCCACTCCCACTGCTGTGTTCCCTCTCTCACTGTCTCTCTCTCTCTGTCAAATAAATAAATAAAATCTTTAAAAAAAAATAAAAATAAAAAAATAAAACTACTTAATTGACCAGTGAGCTCTGAAATAAGGCAGGGTCTTAGCCTGCCATCCAACAATTAGTCTCAGGGCATGAACGGTCCAGCGCCCACCCATCACATCAAGTTGTTTTTATCTACTTCGGCTTTAGATATTACTCTTTTCAAATCTCTATTTGTTAAACATTCATGTACCTATTAAAAAGAGAAGTGGGGGTGCCTAGGTGGCACAGTCGGTTAGGTGTGTGACTCTTGTTTTGGTTCAGGTCGTGAACTCTGGGCTGTGAGATCAAGCCCTGTATCGGGCTCCACGCTCAGCGCAGCATCTGCTTAACTCTCTCTCCCTCGCCTTCTGCCCCTCCCCCGCAAATAAATAAAAGAGAGAGAGAGAAGTGGAACTGTGGCATCTTTTTCTAATAAGCAAATACAAGACAGAAGAATTTTTGAAAAGCAAATTACAACAGAGCTACAATGGTTCATATACTTCCTAGAAATCTCATCTGAACCCATAATGATCTTAAATTAAATACACTATGATTCTCTTTTCCTATACATATCCATCTCCTTTACTATTCAATTATTATTCCTTAGTTTACCACTTAAGTATTGTAATCTGATACAATTCTCTCCCCATGATTCACTTTTAGTGATTGTTCATTTTGAGATTCTACAAATCTATCTCCATTATCCTAATACAACATAGAAGGATGACACAGACAAATAAATCTAGACATAGTTACTTTCAAAGTATACATACAAAGATACTTTACTGAGCTCCTTACTCTATGTGGGCACTGGAATATATGATGGGGTTACAAAGGAAAATCACCAGTTTTCTACCCTCAAGCAGTTTCAGTCAAGAGTTAAGGAGAGTAGAAAAAGACATAAATTATTTCTAGAAAATGCCATTCCCAGTCTCATGACTACATTATGCACAAATTATTCTGAAATAGATGGGAGTTAACTAATTTAATTAGGGCTTGTACTTAGGAAAGAATTCTTAGAGATGATTCCTGAACAGAAGGTCTTGAGTAAAGAAAGGGCCAAGACAAGGAAGCTTCAGGAAATAGAAACATTATAAGAGCAAAAATACATGAAAAGAAATGGTATTTTTACGCAGCATACAGTTCAGTATTACTGGATTTCCAGTGCAAAGAGGAAAGAGAAGTGGTGACAACCAAGGGGGTTGGGGGTAAGAAAACAGACATGGGTCAGGACTCTGGAGGGCCATGACAAGCCTGGACTTACCCTTGATGGTATCATCCTTATAATAGGAAACAGTAGAATAGTTTCTACCTCAAAAGATGGTTGTGAGAATTAAATGAATCAGCAAACATAGCAAATTTAGATCAGCACCTGGCACATGGTACAAGCTCAACAGCTGTTAGCAATTAACTGTGATTCAGGGTTTCTCAAAGTTTGGGGTCGAAGAACAATAAGTATCAGAATCTCTAGACATATTAAACCAGAAAATCCCTAAGAGATTGTTATGCACATCAGTTTTTTAGAACCATCGCTCTGGGTGATGATGAATCCCTGAAGAGTAGTAAGGAAGAGAGTGACACCTTTAGCATATTTTGAATAGCAGCAATAGTGACAGAGAAAGGAAGAGAGTATTTTACACCTGAGTCGGTTAGAAGGTTCCTGCAATGGTTTTGTTGATAAAATGGATGGCTTAGAGGTAATTAAGGTAATGCTAACTAAGAAGACAGAATGAATTGATGGAATTTAAAATATAAAATAATAAGGATTTTGCAATTAAGTGGATGTACAGGGAAGAAAAACCCCAGGGCATCTTTAAAAAGAAGACAATCATATACTTTCAGGTAAAATGTGGCTCCCACTTTTCAACCCTTCCTACTGACACTTTGCTTCATTAACTTTTTACAAAATGGATATGATTAGTTATCTAAAAAGGATGATTTCGGAAGCACAGAATACCAAGCAAAATAGTAAAGAAATACGTAAAAGTAGTAGTAGTTGCCTTGTTGCCCACCATGTCTAGATTAAGATCAATTTTTCCTTCCTAAGACATGGAAATCGGAGTCTCCTGAAAGTTCTTTAACTAGTTGCAAAACAAATTAGATAACATAGAATATAAATTCATTTGGCCAAATAGAAAGGCTTTATAACCAAGAAGAGTGAATAAATTAAAAAAGCTCAGTATGGGTAGGGAGGCCAAAACAGAGGGATGAAGGAAAAATGTCTCCTCTCGTAGTATTCTTCAGAGAGGTGAAGAAAAGCTAAAGTCTTTTAGTGAGTGGCCCAAAAGGGACAGACAGGGCTTCTATCAGTAACCACAGTGTTCTGGCAAATAACCATCTTAGTTTCTTCTTTATCTTTAAACAAAGCAAATAATCAGAACTGTGGAAATGTTGTTCCTGAATTGCTTCAATGTAAATGTCACCAAAATCAAGAAAAAAACAAGGATTTTCATAACTAACAGCCAATGAAAACTCAACTTTGGGTCAGCTCTATTCTCATATTCTCCTCCTCCAAATGCTCATTTCAGAAAGAAGATTATTGTTTTGAGTTTCATGGTTTTCATAAAAATGATTCAGCCTTTAATATTTTTTGTTAATTTGGGCATATATTTGGCATGAGTTTTTCCTTCACCTGCCTGTCAAAGTCAAAAAACACAAGAACTAAGAAAGCCATTAAAACAAATATGGTTCAACTCTCATTTTATTGGTGAAATCGAAGTCCAAAAATTTTAAATTTCCAAATGTCACAGAACTAAGAGGCAGAATTAAATTTATCTTCATATGAATACTTAAAACTCTTAAATACTCCCTCTACCTTGTAAATGGTGCCCAAATTTATCCTCCAGCCCTGAGTTTTTTTGCTAAGTAGCAGTATAACATTTCTAAGAATTATTTTAAGATAAGTTCCATATTATAAAATATAACTTAATAACTGCCAAAAAAGGCATCTCTTTACTAGCCAGCTTTTCTTTATGACTTCTCAAATTCTGTTAGTGTTGCTTCTACTGTCCCAGAACACTGTCTCATGCTGAAAGAACACAGTCTACTACCGTCTTCTCACCTCCATGATTTAACCCCATCATAACTTTTTAATCTTATATCTCCTACTACTTCCCCTCAACATGTAACATTACTCAATATGGCAGGAAGCACATTAAGAGATGAGAGATATCATGACAAGATGTGTATTCCGCTACCTCTTTTTGATCTACTGCCAAAGGAGACCATTTACATTACCGCCAGGGGTTCTTCCCTGTGTTTAGAAATTCATTTCCCCTGATTTCTACTTGTTGAAATCCATCAATCCTCTATAATAGTTAGAAGTTCATCCCTGGTATCTACAAGAACCTACTTAATGGTGAAATACTGGTCTCTGAGGTCAGGACTAAGACAAGGATATTGACTATCACCACTTTGATTCAATGTTGTACTGGAGATTCCAGTCAGTTTCTTGTTCCTGGGGACAGAGCAGAAAACTGGTCATACAAGGGCTCTGACCCCAAGGAGCAAACAGGATGACTTCAGAAAGTGTTACATGTTATAGACACAAAGGAAGTGGGTAACAGGTTACAAAGGATAGGAGTGGGGGGGCAGGGGGCAGGTAGGTCATTCACTGTTACTGATTCTGAAAGATGACAACAGATCTGAAGAACTGAATGGTGAAAAGAAGCCAGCCACTAGAAGAACTAGAAAGAGACTATTCTAGGCAGAGGACAGAAAAGTTAAGAAAGACCTGATGTATTAAAAACAGCTTAACTTCCTCAAGAAATAGAAAGTCAGTGCAGCACAGTAGGCATGGGGAGTGTGGCATCAGGAGAGTTTGGGGAAACTTGGGGAAGTGTAGTGACATCAACAATGCAGTGGCTGGCAAAGGCAAAATAAGATACCAACGTTCACTGGGAATCATCTGGAGAGGTAAAGAGAGGCCAACAGATAGGCACCCTAGAAACCAAGGCAGAAAATCATTTCACAAAGGAAACATCAAGTAAGATAAGGATAATATATAATAGTTTGCCAAATCCAGGAGGTGAAGGCCTTAGAGAAAAGAAACTCAAGTGCAGTGGGTTGAAGAGGGAATGAAAGTTCAAGAAATATAAAGGATGAGTATTAAAAAACTCAAATAATTTGACTGCATAGGGAAGGGGAAATACCGTGTGGTTCTAATAGAGAGTGATGGCTCTTCGTTCTTTCTCTTTAAGATAGGGAAGATTTGAATAAGTTTTGAATAATATGTTGAGAGGAAGGAGCCAAAGGAGAGGAAGAAGTTGTAAATACAGAAAGAGGACAAATGATAGAGCAAAGTTTTAGACGAGGTAGAACGGATGGGATCTAGAACTAGAGTCAAAGATAAGGAGGTCATTCTCCTGAGGGGAGAAAAGCTAGGGGCTCAAACAGGGACTGATAAAAGTTTGCAGAGAGAAACATGAGGGGAACTGTGTGGTTGTTCTTAGTCTTTATATGGCTGGGCATTGTTATGGGAACAGGTAGACTTGGCTGTAGCAGCATTTGTAGAGGCAACAATCTGCACAATAATTCCACTATCTCTGTAGTGTTTCAGCAGCCTTAGGACTGGAGACGCAAATAACCTATTACTTTCTGTCATCTATACCATTTTTGCAGTTTTTAAGGAATATTGCCTCGCATTGTAAAAATGCACAGCTCTGTCTACCACTCCAGCAAAAAAATGGAAAGTTCTTTGATTATTCTCAATATCTGTCTTTCTCAGTGCCTTGAACAAAGTAGGAACTCAATAAAGACTGGTTCAAAGAATGGATATAGTCACATAACATTTTAAAATACTGCAATACAGTTCAAGAAAATCCTATACTTCACCACTACCTCATATAAAGTCAATGACATCATAAAGACTAAGTTTACTACTTAAGTCAGATGTTTGGAGCAATAAAGTAACAGATTAGGATACACCCTTTAATTAGCCACTTGTTTTAACAAAACACATCATTAAAAGTAATGTTGCCTTATTTCATGACAGTCTTAAAATACAGCATCTAAATCCCAATCCTTATTTTATTTTATTTATTTTTTTTAAAGATTTTATTTATTTATTTGACAGAGAGAGAGACACAGCGAGAGAGGGAACACAAGCAGGGGGAGTGGGAGAGAGAGAGAAGCAGGCTTTCCGAGGAGCAGGGAGCCCGATGCCGGGCTCGATCCCAGGACCATGGGATCATGACCCGAGCCGAAGGCAGACACTTAACGACTGAGCCACCCAGGCGCCCCCAATACTTATTTTAAATGAAAATACAGATGAACAGTTAGCTAATTGCTTTTAACTCAGAAACCCTATATACTTGCATTCCACTTACAACAAAAGCTATTTACCTCTACACTGTAAATGCTGCTTTAAATTATGGTTATTTCCAGTAGACTTCATAGGTGGCCAGAAACCTTCTCTGATTTCTCTCATTTTTTTGAACTACTCAAATTAGGAGATTGCTAGGGAATCTCACCAACCAATTATCACCTCCTGATCCAGTCTGTATACATTCCATTATGCACACACCCCTCTACACACAACTAAACAACTAGCTTGGGGATGGGCACCATCAACAGCACCTTGTGGACAGACCATTAAGCATCAAACTTGCCCAATAAGGATTAGAAACTACACCTGAATGCCAGCTCTCTGATGGCTGAGCATCTCCAAAAGGTGAGACGTCATTTTACTGAGGGGAATACTGGGGACAGATTCTGCCTGTCCAAACCTAACACAAATTAATTAGAAATACTAAACATGCGGGGCGCCTGGGTGGCTCAGTTGGTTAAGCAACTGCCTTCGGCTCAGGTCATGATCCTGGAGTCCCGGGATCGAGTCCCGCATCGGGCTCCCTGCTCAGCAGGGCGTCTGCTTCTCCCTCTGACCCTCTCCCCTCTCATGTGCTCTCTCTCTCTCAGTCTCTCTCTCTCAAATAAATAAATAAAATCCTTAAAAAAAAAAAAAAAAGAAATACTAAACATGCACAGGGGCACCTGGGTGGCTCAGTGGGTTAAGCGTCAGGGTCTTCATCTCAGGTTCCTGAGTTCAGGCCCTGCTGGGCGCAGAGCCTACTTTAAAAACAAAAACCAAAACCTAAACACGCACAAAGTGCAAACGAAATGCCACTTGGCATTTCGTTTGCACTTTGTGCGTGTTTAGGTTTTTTCTTTAAAGAATATGCTGTCCACTGGAGGGCGAAGGGGGGGCCCGCAAGAAAAGGGGAATACAAGTCCCCCACCCCCCAACATGTCTTCTTCTGCACACAGGAAATACGTGGAAATATCCCTTCTAAATGACTTCTACAAAATCGGATGTCCTGAGATCCTGGAGAAGCTCTCATGATCCAGGAACCAAAACCACCTCTTGGTCACCTGTGTCCAAGCAGAGCAAACTGGTTTGGGTGGGAGAGGAGTTTCGGAGGGGGCCTTCGCTCCCAAGTGGCACAAAGATCCGTATAAGAAGGCTGTTCAGCAGACAGAAGGCGAGAGAGTCGGTGGCCCAGAGGGAGAAAATAGGGCAGCAAGGAGTAAAGGGGATGGACACTTGGCTCCAGCCACAGCTGTCAGAAGCATGATCAGGGGGGAGTAAGAGGAACCTCCTCCGTCCCTACCTCCAGAGCTCCCTTTACCCTTCCCTCGTCTCCAGACACAAACATACACACACTCAAACACACACACGCCTGCCTCGCGACCCGCAGGTGGCACTCCCGCGGTCAAGGGCGACAGGAGACGCGGAGGGCAATGAGCCCGGTCCGCGGCGCAGGTGGCCCAGCTTACTCCTCAGGCTCACCTGCGGAGAACTGGGGGCCCCGGGCACCTCGCCTCCGCCCCTCGGCCCCCCTCGCCCTCTCGTACTCACCCAGATGATAAGGCTGTCGCACAGCGGCAGCTCGGACTGCGGAAGCGGCTGCGTCTCTTCCATGGCCGGGGCCGCCGTCGACTACGCCGCTGACAGGGACACCTCCCTCCTCCCCGCGCTCCGCCAGGAGCCGGCGTCGACGACCTACTCGCCGGCGGGGAAAGCTCGGTAGCCAGGCCCAGCCCGCGCGGCTCACGCGCGAAGCCTCGCGCTGCCGACGTCGCCGGCGTAACCCCCTCCTCGCCCCCGCCCCCGGCCCTACTCCGCCCCCCTCCGCAGTTAGCCCCCTCCTCGGTCTGGCCCGACTGCGCGGCTCAGCACCTGAG